CATCCCGGCTAGATCTTGCTCCGAAAGTGCCTAAGGATGGAGAACGTTGATTCTAGAACAAGACTCCTTGAGTTAGAATCCTGGCCCTGTCCATTGCTCGCTGTGGACTGGGGGGAAGTGACTTCCCATTCCTGTCCTGAAGTTTCCTGCTCTCTGGCTTGGGGACCTGGGACAGCTGTGTGAGGATGGAGGGAGGTGGTCAGTGGGAACCTCTCAGGACGGGGCATAGGACAGTCACCTCCCCAGACAGCGAGGAAGGAGCCGTAGCAGGCCATTTGCACAAGGGTCAGGCCATTGGGAGCATCTGCCGTAGATGTTTCCCTGGGGAGGGGGCGGAGAAGAAGGGGGCTTTACTGAAAAGCAGCTTGTCATCTCTCTTAGTACGCCCACGGCAGAGGGCAGCCTCCATGCCCAGGGCTCCTGCTCTGGACTGCGCCTCGTTCTGGCTCTGTTGCGAGGTATTTGTGCTTTTGGTATAAATTATAAATCTAAACATATGCAGGGTTTGTTTTCCCCCCAGAGCAGATTCCAACCAGCGTGAAACCCGCCAAGACAAATAAATTGTGCGCTTCAGCCCATTGTCTCCGGCCCCACGTACGCGGTTGAGTTGTAGAGAATCGCTTTGAAGGGGACGCCCATTAGTGCTCCCAGCATCAGGGTCCAATTTAGGCAGCGCATATTTTGAAGAGTTTCCTAGAAATTTGTGGCGAAGGAAGACAGGCATGGGCTGGGGGCGCAAAGGGCTCTTATCAAATTATACAGGATGCATTTCGGGGGGGGGGGCGGGGGGGGTTGGCATCAATGCACAAAACAGAGCCGCGGCCCTGAACTGAAGGGGGCTCGCAGAATTCCTCCGCGGGGGAAGTCATCCCGGGAATGCGAGGATTGCGCTCAGTGTTATGTTTGCAAGGAAACGACTGTCACCAAGTGGAGAATGTCAGGTCCTCCGAGAAGCCCCCTGAGCATTCACGTGCAGGAAACTATTTACTTAACTGGGGCTGGTTCTGAAAGTATCTGACTCCGGAGGGTCCCGAGGGAGTGTGGACGGTGTCTGGATTTTCTTTGGGGTCAGGACGAGGCCTCTAACAGTCCCTCCAACTGATAAGGTTGCAGGGCAGGTTCCTTCTCTGCTGAATCCAGGTTTATGGCCCCGGCCCGGCCGAGGCCAGAGCGGGAGCCTGTCATCCCAGACGCCTCCCCAGCTCACCAGAGCGCACGTCTAACTGATGCATGAGCGGAGGTGCGGCAGAGGCCGTGGGCCGGTGAGAGTGCAGGGGAAAGAAGCCTGGAAGGATGGATCGAGATGTTTATCTCCAGGAGGAATCCAGCAAACTACGCCCTTGTCAGTGCTGAGGGCTGACAGGGTGGGTAGCAGAGAATGATGGATGGTACCAAGTGGGGTGGGTTTTGGAGACTGTTCCTCCTGTTAAAAGCACCCCACACCTCCTGCACCCCCTTCCCAAGCAGGAGACGGGAGGGGGGCTGTGTGGGACTAGACAGCTAGGCTCCGGCCCCACAGGGCCGCAAGGGCGGTGGGACTGGCCTTCCCCTGAGGGCCCGAGAATAGAGGTGTTCTAGAAAGATCACGTAACCTTTCTGTTTCCTCATCCTTCCCTGGTGACACACTTCCCTGGGGCTTCCTCTCCAGTCTCAAAGGCAGAGGCCCCTCCCCTCTGCTCTGATGACAACACTCACCACCTGGGCTGCCGTGCAGCTGGCCCGACACGCCTGTCCACACGGGGACACTTCCTCTCTACTCATCTCTGTCCCAAACACCCAGCCTGGCCATGGGGGACGATGACACCTGCCCTGCTCACCTCATGAGGGAGCACGGGTAGAGACGGGAAGTTGTTTGGAAGTGTTAGAAACGCTGTGTGGCTCGAAAGTGTGTGCCTGTGGGGCCACGGTGGTGAGTGTGGCCGCGCAGGGACTAGAGAGGTCATCGGAGTCATCACAGATCCACCTCGTTGCCAGGCACCTCTTCGCCTGAAGTGCCAGCAGCTCAGCCACCACCTGGCCAAATTCATTTGCCACCTGGGCTCTCCCGTACTCAATATTTCTCTTTAATTTCCTTTGTCTGCTAGTTTTTTGTTTGGACAAATTTCTAACCCGCTGGGAAGTTGAGATAATAGCGCCACCAACAGCCAAATACCTCTCCCCTAGATTCACCGATTGTTAATATTTCTGCCACATGGGCTTTCTCTCTCTGTTTCTCTCCATATATACATTAAACAACAACAACATGGGCCCTAGCCAGTTTTGCTCAGTGGATAGAGCGTCGGCCTGCAGACTGAAGGGTCCTGGGTTAGATTCTGGTCAAGGGTACGTATCTCCTATCTCCGTTGCAGGCTCCTCCCCGACCCAGGCTCTGGTTGGGGCACCTGCAGGAGGCAACCAATCAATGTGTTTTTCTTACATAGATATTTCTCTTTGTCTTTCCCTCCCTCTCTCACTCTCTCTCTCTAAATATCAATGGAAAAATATCCTCAGGTGAGGATTAACAAAACAAAACAACCACATGGAATTATTTATTTTCTAGGTCCATTAAAATATTTAAGAAACTTTCACTTTCAGAATCACTTAGATTTAAAGAAAAGTTACAAAGAGTGTACAGAGAACGCTTATGTAACGTGTTTCCAGTTTCTCACCGTCTCCCCTTACTGTTGACATCTTACATGTTATGGAGCATTTGTTACAATGAATGCACCAATATCCATACATTATCATGAACTAAACTCCACGTTTTTGTGAGTTTTTCCTTATCTGATAAAGTCACTTTTAAACTTTAAAAATGTGAAGATTGGAAAGTGTCCATGGGAAACCACAATCCTAGCTGGAGGCTGTTGGCGGCTGAGTGAATAAAAGCCAGAGGCCGGCTTTCTCTTGGTTGAAAAGGCAGGTTAGTAAATGGTGGAGATGTTCAAGTCCGAGGCCAGATGGACCTGGAAGGGCATTGCCCCAGGTTTAACGTGCCTTTCCCACGATGGCTGGTGCCCCGTCTGTGTGTCACCAAGTCCCGTCGGGGGCCACCCTGCGTGAGCCTGGGAAGCAGCACGGCCTGGCGACGTTAGGCCTTCGGACGGCTGGAAACCCCAAGTTCAGGACGACTGAGTTCCACACCTGGGGCTTTCTTCTGCCCTGGAGGGCGGGGGCGGGGCGGGGGCTGCCCCACTGGCTCAGGCGTTGGGGGTGCCATTTGTCTTCTCCGCAGCAGCCCCCCCCGACAAAGCCGCCTCCTGACAAGTGGAGAACACGAGAGAACGTGCTGGGGAGTTCCATGCACAGCGCGCGAGTGCCCCCGCGTAGGGTACAAGGTCCGCGTGCCCCTCCCGTCCGTGAGACTGGGCCTCCGTGCAGCCAGCACGGGGAGGAACGTGGCTCAGTCGATGCTGTGCTTCCTCAGTAGCCCTTTGTCTGAATTGTTCAAACGGGTTCCTTTAAAGCGCCTCAAAAAGGTTTTCGTGTTTTATAGGTTAGAGTAAGTGACATGGTTTCCTGAAACGAAGCCACCCCTTTCCAGTCCTTTCCTTTCAAGTGCGGATCTGCTGTCCTTGCCAGGAGGCCCACTGCGGGGAACTGGACAGCTCCCTGCTCTTAAGGAATTTCACTCCGATAAGTCACTGTTGGCCCAAGGGGTCCCAACATCTAACCCGAGGTGCCCGGCTGGAGCGTTTGCAGAATGTCTGGCTTCCCGCCTTAGGACGGCTGTTAATTCTCCCCGGACAGGGTGCAGGATTCTTTGAGTTGGTCCAAGGAGGCAAATGGGGGGTGGGGGGTGGCGGGATGAGGTTTTCTCCTTGTGTGAGGCGCCGTGTCCCCAGAGAAGGAAGCTGTTGGGACGTGAGTGACAGACGAACCCATTGTCTTTTTTTTTTTTTTTCGAAATGAAGCTATTACAGGTCAGAGCATCGCCCCGAAACCTTTTGCCGCCCCCTCTCCCAGAGGTAATGACTCAGTTTGGTTTGTGTTCTTCCAGACTATTTTCCTGGCTTCGTACGTGTTTCCATAGTATTTCATTTTATGTGTGTGAGGAAGGGGGAGGGTCACACCATCAGGATTATAAAATGTTCCATTCTGACCCCCCTTTCCCTCAGTAATACATCTTGGAGGTGCATCTCTGTTGTACAGACACCCCTCAGTCTTTTAAACCACAGGATGACTCTTCCGTGCTCTCTTTAACAGTCCTTACTTGATGGATATCTATTTCCAATGGTTTCCTGTGATAAACCATTGTTTTCTAGCGAACTTCTCCGTGTGTGCCTCCCCATGCACAGGCGTAAGTGACGTTTGGGTGCGCCCTCTGCTCACTTTCGGTTTTCAAAGCTCTAGCCCAGTTACCCTTCAGAGGATGCGTGTGGGGGAGTGGGGTGAGAGGTGTCCGTTTCTGTTCTTCGGGGCTGCTGAGCCCTGGTTTCTTGTCTGCAGGGCTGTAGGGTGGACGGGAGCCAAGGCGAGGCAGAGAGAAATGCATCTCTAGGTGTTAGACTTAGAGGCTGGGAGGCACTGCGGGGCCGGCCTCCGTCAATGGGGACTTTGTTCCCAGCTGCATCCCTGAGCAGAATCCAAAAGCAAGATGCACGAGGTGACCAAAGGAGCCTGGGACCCCACCCCTCGACTCAGAGACACCAAGTTTCTGGGAGTCTTACACACACAGATGTAAGAAGGGAGGGTGTGTGTGCGGGGGGGGGGGGGCAGGGGGGGGAGGGCAAACCCTGAAATAATTAGGTTGTAAAAAAAGGGGAAAAGGTAATAAAAGAAGCTGACTACTAACTATAAAGATGTAAAGGGAAAAAGCCAAGCCAATTCACATCCTAGGAGATGGGGGAGGTGCAGAGGGGACGATGGGGTTTGGGGGAAGGGGTGTGTGGAGGATCAGATCCCAGTCTGAGGAGGGGACAGATGGCAAAGAGGGAAGAGAGGAGGGAAAGGAGAAAGCGCGAGGAGAAAGCGGCAAGGTAAGGAGGGGAAGGGGGGGGGGGCGGAGTGGGGGGAGGCTGCGTCCCTGTCTGTTTGTGATTAGCACGCAGCCCCGCAGAATGGAGTAAACAGAAACTTCTAGGCGTCCCCACACCCCGCTCCGAGGCACAGCAGAAGTCAGATGCTCCAGGATTAATCGCGGAGAGCTCAGGACACGACCACAAACGCCGTGTGGACTTGCAACTTGCTGCCTTTTCCCAGTCCCCTTGCCAAGATGGGAGTGGGGGGGTGGGACGTGAAGGGGTGGGGGCCCCGCCTGCCGGGGGCCACATGGAATCCTCCCAGGCAGAGCTCCGAGTGACACTGACGGGCAAATCGGCGGCGTCCAGAGCAGCAGGCAGCATCCGGGGGCGCGGGCCGCTGGGGGCGCCCCAGGCAGGCTTCCTGGAACCCCGGCTCCACAGCTGCCTGCACCCTGACACAGGCCAGATAAGCGCCGGCTGCGCTATCAGGGCCGGCAGCGCACAGTCGCAAAGACCACGGGGACAGCGGGCTCCTGCGAGGCGGCGCGAGTCCTGGCTGGAGTCCTGCCCTGAATGGGAACCCACTGCTACAGCGACCAACCAGGCTGCTCCCAGGAGGATGGTGACAGGCTCCTGAAGGTCCGGACCCGCTGCTGGTGAGTGCGGCCGCATGGGGACCAGACCCTGGAGGGTGGGGGGAGGCGCCAGGAGGGCAGCGGGTCCTCACTTTCCCACCTGGAGCTCCGTTGAAGCTAAGAGGGCGTTGCAGTATCTCGCTGTGTGGCGCTGGGCAAGTTCTTCTCCCTCTCTGGGCCTCCGTTTGTCCATCTCTGAAATGGAGCAGCTGAACGAGGCGATCTTTAAGCGCGGGGGGAGGGGGGTGGTGGTTATTGCTATGACTGCTATTTCTCGTGTGTCTGCTTGTGTACCAAGCACCGTGCTAGGCGTTTTGAAACGTTAGCCTGGGGAAGCCCCACAATCCCCCAGACAGTAGGTATTATTATTACTATTCTCTTCGTTGTACACTGAGCAGACAGAGGCTCAGAGAGGTGAAATAACTCGCCCAAGGACACACAGCTGGTCCCTGGCCGAGATGAGAACCAGATCTCGGTTTTTCCGACTTGACTTTCACTAATGTTCCCACCATCAATATTCTGCATTCTGAGTCTGCGATTATCACCCAGGAAGCTGGGGTGAAGGAGGAGGGGGAATTGTCTGGAGGAGGGAGGCAGAGACGTGGACAGAGGAAGAAGCAGCCGGCCGAGCAGCCTTTAGCTCCTTGGATGTATGTCAGCCCAGGGAAGGGGCACCCTGTCCTGGCATGGGGTGGGCAGGGCTCCTGGTGCGAATCACTTGCTGTGTTTGCTGCTCTGTTGTAGGAGACTCCTAGGCGTGAGAGAAGAGGGTTAATCTTAGGCAGGGGTGGGGAGAGCTGGGTGTGGAAAGAGTGGCATATGTCTCTACTAGGTTTTGTTCCAATTTTATTTTGCCTTTTCAAAAATGTGTTTCAAATCACCCCGGGCCCCCTCTGCTCCTCTGTAGAAACGGAATTGTGAAACACAAACAGTGCTTTCCACATGCCTCCCCCCGCCCCCCTTCCCACATTAATATTATCACAGGCGATTTGCATATGCGCCCCGCAGCTGTGGCCGGCAGCAGCCAAGAGATAAGAAATACGCAGCAGGGCCACGGCAGGTGGGAAATCCCTCGGGTGGCAGGCATCTGGGCGGAGTTGGAGGTCCTGGCACCCAGATGTGGCCTCCTGTTTTCTCTTCCCTGGAAAATTCCATCCCAGCGCAGCTCTGCACTGACTCAGACCTCCTGTCCTTCCAGGAACTGGCTCGGCCTTAGGCTCAAGCCCAGACCCGAGTGGTGGTCCCAGCTCTAGGGTGATTGGCTAGTCCCGAAGCCCCCTTGGTCCCGGGCAAACAAGGACCTTGGCACCTATGATGTTACTGTGCTCCTGAGGCTATTTTCATCGAGGGTGGCTGTCTGGTGGGAATACTGTAACGGTGTGCTGCGGTGCGTCTCTTCCCAACTTCATTGTTAGCGATGTCAGGTTGGTAGCCTGATACTGATCGTATTGGGAGTATTTACATTTTGGGAATTGGCAAATGAGTATGACGCAGGGTTTGATTTATTGTCTGATTCACTGTCTAGATTTGAGAAAGTGAGGGAGGAAAAGTTAACCATGCGGATTAAACATCAAAGCCCGTTGTCTCTCTGGCTGTTACACTGTGAATAGCACCAAACATCGGGCAAGTTGCTCATTTCATTGAAAAAGGGGTTAAGCTCGACTGCTCTCTGTTGTACCATGGTGGTCTTACTCCTTAAGGTAAAATTAAATATCAATCACCATTCCTGAAGAACTATGGTCGTTCATCCATTGTAACCATAGGTTGACTACAGATGCAAGAATAGAGGGGGAAAAAAATGAATGAAAATGTTCTGTGTGAAACAATGGGTGATATGAAATTTACAAAAAGTGGTATTGTAAATTTTGTTTTTATTTGTAAATCATGTGCTACACATTCTTTATGTCAATACAATGTATAATAACCCTAAGTATATGTATCTATGTGTATGTGTGCGTGCGTGTGTATATGCATATATAGTATTTGTATGTACACACATGTGCACGCACACACACACAGACACACACAGACACACTTTCTCCTGGGGAGCTGTGGTTAACCCTTCACCCGCCCACCGCTGGCCCACAGCATCTCAGAAGCCCTGGGGTGGACTGTCCTCAGCCCTCACCCAGAAGGATTAAAACTCCAGGCCATGGGCCCTGGAACCCTTCCCTCAACTTCCTCTTCTCAGCTAAACGAATCAACAGCCAAACTGCTCTCCCTGCCCTGATCTCTGGGATGGAAGCAGGGGCTGGAATGGGAACAGGGGCTGGAATGGGAGCAGGAGCTGGGATGGATGCAGGGGCTGGGATAGATGCAGGGGCTGGAATGGATACAGGGACTGGGATGGATGCAGGGGCTGGGATGGATGCAGGGGCTGGGATGGGAGCAGGGGCTGGGATGGGAGCAGGGGCTGGAATGGGAACAGGGGCTGGAATGGGAGCAGGGGCTGGGATGGATGCAGGGGCTGGGATAGATGCAGGGGCTGGAATGGATACAGGGACTGGGATGGGAGCAGGGGCTGGGATGGATGCAGGGGCTGGGATGGATGCAGGGGCTGGGATGGGAGCAGGGGCTGGGATGGGAGCAGGGGCTGGGATGGAAGCAGGGGCTGGAATGGGAGCAGGGGCTGGAATGGGAGCAGGGGCTGGGATGGATGCAGGGGCTGGGATAGATGCAGGGGCTGGAGTGGATACAGGGGCTGGGATGGGAGCAGGGGCTGGGATGGATGCAGGGGCTGGGATGGATACAGGGGCTGGGATGGGAGCAGGGGCTGGAATAGATGCAGGGGCTGGGATGGATACAGGGGCTGGGATGGATACAGGGGCTGGGATGGGAGCAGGGGCTGGGATGGATGCAGGGGCTGGGATGGAAGCAGGGGCTGGAATGGGAGCAGGGGCTGGAATGGGAGCAGGGGCTGGGATGGATACAGGGGCTGGGATAGATGCAGGGGCTGGAGTGGATACAGGGGCTGGGATAGATGCAGGGGCTGGGATGGATACAGGGGCTGGGATGGGAGCAGGGGCTGGAATAGATGCAGGGGCTGGGATGGATACAGGGGCTGGGATAGATGCAGGGGCTGGGATAGATGCAGGGGCTGGAATGGGAGCAGGGGCTGGGATGGGAGCAGGGGCTGGGATGGGAGCAGGGGCTGGGATGGGTGCAGGGACTGGGATGGATGCAGGGGCTGGGATGGGAACAGGGGCTTAATGGAAGCAGAGGCTGGGATGGGAGCAGGGGCTGGGGTGGGAACAGGGGCTGGGATGGGAGCAGGGGCTGGGATGGAAGCAGGGGCTGGGATGGGTGCAGGGGCTGGGATGGAAGCAGGGGCTGGGATGGGTGCAGGGGCTGGAGTGGGTGCAGAGGCTGGGATGGGAGCAGGGGCTGGAGTGGGTGCAGGGGCTGGGATGGGTGCAGGGGCTGGAATCTGTGCAGGGGTTGGTGGGGTAGGAGGTGTCGTCCCCACTGGCAGCATCTCTGGCGGCCCCTCAGTGGCACTTGGCCGCTCATTCCTTCCCGTTGCAGGTCTTGCCCTGCCAGCCTGTATTTTCATGCAGAGCGACCGATTCTCTAACACAAACGGCATCTTGGCACAAGTAGAAGGAAGGGCTAAGCCAAAACTATAGGAAAGTTAAGACAACTTTCTATTTTTAGAAACTTTAGGAGCCAGGTGGGCCCTTTCCAGCTCTCCCAAGTCAGCAAGCACGAGAGGAAAATATTTCTCCTTTCCAAGTTCCGCCTCCTTGCAGGCCAGGCCAAGGAGGAGGCCCAGGTAGGGACACTGGCTAAGAGAAGTGTGTTGCGATGGCAGAGGGAAGCCACAGCAATATTATTTCATTTTATTTTTTAAAATATATTTGTATTAATTTCAGAGAGGAAGGGAGAGAGGGAGAGAGGGAGGGAGAGAGGGAGAGAGGGAGGGAGGCGTGGAAACATCAATGATGAGAGGTAATCACTGATCGGCTGCCTCATGCACACTGCGTACTGGGGATCACGCCTGCACCCCGGGCATGTGCCCTGATCGGGAATCGAACCGTGACCTCCTGATTCATAGTTCGATGCTGAGCCATGCCGGCTGGGCCACAGCAACTTTAAAAATAACTAAAAACAACGTTTATTATAATTTTATTTTGTGTGGCAGGAAGGGCAATTCCCGAGTTTAAGTCTTCACTCCAGGTGATTAAGGGCCAGATGTGCCTGTTCTCTCAGACCAGTGGTTGGCAAACTGCGGCTCGCGAGCCACATGCGGCTCTTTGGCCCCTTGAGTGTGGCCACGAAGTTTCAATCGCATTGTACGTGCGCGCCCGCACGTGGTATTTTGTGGAAGAGCCACACTCAAGGGGCCGCAGTTTGCCGACCACTGTCCAGACCATTCACTCACTCCTACTCATAGTTTCCGAAAGCGAGACCATTTCCCCTCCACGTTGCCTCTTCCTTTCTTCACTTGCCCATGTGTCCTGGGTGTTTTCCCTCTTAGCCCACGAAGACCCAAACCATTCCTTTCAATGCCGGCATGACACAAGCCCCAGGAGGTGGTAAGAAGAAAGCCCTTTCGACAACCACATCTCCACTTGCTAACCAGCTCTCCAACTTTCTCAATCCCAAAACATGAGTAGAGCCTAGCTGCCTCCACTCTGCAGTAAGAAGAATTTGACCGGCTCTACCTGCCACCTGTAACTGGACGCTAACTACCTCCTGTCTCCTCCACTGCATCCGCCCGGCCCAAGTGGCCATCATCTTTCTCTGGACCATTACAGTTGCCTCCTCACTGGGGTCTCTGCTTCTCCTCCTGCCGCTCTGACAGTCTGTTCTCCACTTGCAGCCAGTCGGGTCCTGTTAAAAGGAAATCAGCCCTGACTGGTTTGGCTCAGTGGATAGAGCGTCGGCCTGCGGACTGAAGGGTCTCGGGTTCGATTCTGGCCAAGGGCATGTACCTTGGTTGCGGGCACATCCCCAGTTGGGGGTGTGCAGGAGGCAGCTGATCGATGTTTCTAGCTCTCTATCCCTCTCCCTTCCTCTCT